CAGAAAAAGAGATGTTAAAAATATAAAGCAAAAATAAAGGACAAAAATAATTATGTAGTTTATGAAATTTGAACTTAGTGGGACTTTAAAGAAGTTGAGGCAATTTAAAAGGAAGTGTGTTATCCATTCTTCAAGTTAAACAATAAATTGTAAAGCCTTAAAAAATAAGTAAAGTCTAAACTGTGATTCTATAGAAACCATAAAAAATGTTAAGATCCTGGTTCAGTCACAAAGTCATAAAGTTTTATGGGACACATTTAAACTGAATGATTGTTTTACTGTGAAGTTTGCCAGAGCTCTGGAGCTCCAAAGAAAGCTGAGTTTTCTCCTTWATTTTGTCAAAATCCTTTTTTAATATGCACTTTTTTTAGTTTTGGTTTACATCATACAATTCACTAATACAGGATAGCACACWATTTCCAAACAACCAGCATGTTTTCATTTATTTATTTTTCCAGAACAACTAAAAATTAGTGAACAACAATTGTGATGAAACTCGAACAGAATAATAATAATGGGGAGCTTCAGTACTTAAGCATAGGTACCCTTAATGATAAGCTTCTTTTGCAAGTTGCATTAACCCTGAAYTTATGTACTAGATTAGAGAGTTTGTATGCAAAGTGGTCACTAACCTGTTTTTATGGTTTCACTTGCGTTCCTGGTGAAGCTCAGAGAGAAATTAATTGTTTTGGTCTTTTATCGTCAACTTGAAYCTGATAATATCAACAGTTTATCTTTTGTTCTTGGCAGACTGTTGGTCTTGTCATGGAAGGAAAGACAAGTGAAACAAACGTTGATAATGATGGCTCAGCTCCATCAAGTATCCCTTAAAGCCATGCCAGTTTGTCATCATGCATAATACCAGGATGCTGATGCTAGCTCAGCCAAAACACACTGGGCTCTGACTATGTGCCATCTCTTGAATGCACAGACCAATCAGGATTTATAGCCTACATGCAAATGTTAATGTGACATTTTTAATAACATACTAATTTTGGCCTGGATTCTTCAATTTAAACACAAATGTTGACAATTTATTGTCATCAAATCATCCATTTTTWTCTTGTTAWAMGTTTCACTAATTTTGCCAAATTTAMTTGAAATTAAAGATTAAGATGGATAAAGCCCTCTGCATACTCCATCCGAAGCCGAACAGTCGATACGCAGTCACYTGTTTTTCTGCATTCACTTTCACACACACACCATTCATCGTCCCTGAGATGCCCCGCGCCGAGCTCCTGGGGAAACCCTTCCCACTGCAGCATACGTCACTGCAGAGGGGTTCCACCCGCTGAAGTCCACAATGTGGGAAAAAAGTCAGACTCGTCACCCGATGTTTTTTACCCACAAATCTGTCGCGGTTAAAGCTCCATAGTTTTTATCAGGTAGATTCCACCGTGCAAAATGCTTGTTTTATCTCCATCCACGTGTTTTTGGCTGTTTGATTATCTTTATAAATCACCTCTTCCTGCTACAACAGTCGGCGCATGAAGCGAGTCACTTTTTTGTTTTGTTTGAAGTGAGCGGTTAGAACAAAATACAGCTATTGAGTGCTTTCAGCACAAACGCTCCCACAAACTTCTGACCAATCACACGATAAGTTCTTATGTGGAGGGGGCTAAAGAGTTCGACCAGCYGGTTGTGTCAAGAAGCTGCCAAAATGTTGGCAATGCAAATAGAATGATGCAATTTCATCATGAAACTGCYGCAATCCYAATGCATTTTGGCAGTTRGGAGGGAGTTTGTAGGAGCCTTGAAGCATTTGGCTAACTCTGAAAAGTGAGGTGCTAAACACAAGACTTTGCTTGTCAGTAGAGAGTTAAATGGCAGCTTTTTCTTGGTAAATAAAAACTTACCTGCAGGTCTTTCTGTTTAATCAGCAAGGTCTAACAGGAATACTTGTYCAGAGAATGTTAAATTTAAAGACACCAGGCACTTTACTGCTGCAGATTTGGGATCAGTTGTGTTGCACTTGTTGTCAAACTCAGATAATATTTTTGTCACAAGATTCAGACACTCAATGACTGAGTCAATTATCATTTTATCTTTTTAACATCAGGTAACACCTCATGTTTTATACTCTTAGCCAGACCTGTCTGTGTTTCTTCATGCAGTACAGGTGGTACTATTCTATGTGCAGACTGCCAAGTTGAAAGTGTTTTGATAAAAGCACTCAGTGTCTCAGGTTTTGTTTGCACATGGAACCTCCTTATGTCATCTACTTATTGTCTCAACACCTTTAAAGCAGCCATTAAAGCACCTCCGGTTGTAATAACCCTTAAACTGAACAGTGTTTGTGTAGATGCAAAARTAAACTAGCAAATATAGTTTATTAGAAAAGCTAGCGTTCTTATTCTTGGTGCTTTTAAAGGATAGTTTATATTTCAGTGAATTTGAGTTAAATGGAGCAGCAGCATAACCATTTTATTTAAGTTTTGTMGGTGAACCTTCTGTCAGAATCTCTATAGACTGGTAATAACACATAATACACTCTGGTACTTAAGAAGTATGTATAGGATACTTCTAGAGGTGGTAAATTTGTTTCACTTTATGAACTTGGGTTGAAGATGGACAAAACTGTTGGCATCTCCTCGTTTAATGAATGAAAAACCCACAATGGTCACAGAAATGACTAGAATCTGACAAAAGTAATAATAAATGAAAAAAATGAAAATCAGACATTGATTTTCAGCCATGCTTCAACTGAATTAAGAAAAAAAAATTAACTCATGAAATATGCCTTGACAGAAATGCTGGTAACCC